TGTTGCCATTGCTCAATGATTGCCAGTCTATTACGTTGTGTGATGGGAATGTTTATAATTATAGAGAATTTCTCTTCGAGATACTTTTCGATAAGTAATTCCTCTATATTCCTCAGTTTCTTGAGTACTAAGTGAACTTGTGGATGGTTCATTTTCAACATTGATAATGTCTTCTACAATGGCTTCTGTGTTATTGCCTATATCACTGCGCCTTATGGTAGTCCCATTGTCTATGTATATAAATAACGTATCCATTAAAAATTATTACTTCACAATATGTAATAAAATCTTTACTTGTCTTACCACACACTGGATAAAATAGCGATTGTTATCGATATGCACACGATTATAATTCTCCAGACAAGGATGTTGAAGAATTTCATTTTCATCAACAATAATTTCGCATACTCCACATGTATTTACCATTTGTATCTGAAAATTTAAACATTATAAATTTTTAAATAAGAATAAAATAAGTTAATTGTTATTAACAAGTAAGCATTGTCAATATATATATATAATATATATATATATATATATTATATTATATTAGAGTGTTTCCTAATCTATAATCTAACCCTAATTTATGTATCAAATGATTTGTGATTAATTATTTCATATCTAAGTTAAGAATGAAATACCGTATGTATATATTATTAATTTCAAAAGTTTCAAAAATATATGTCTATAATATTTTTAATCCAATGATGTAAACAAATTCAATTATATACCCACACGGAACAAAAACCTCTAATGGATGTCCACTAGACATCCATCAAGGAAATTCAAAACCTCTATTAGACGTCCACGAAACCTCCTATAGACGTCTACTAGACATCCACAGTTCCGCAATTCATATATCCATTCGACATCCATTAGACGTATTCATGGATATTGTATGGACGTAATATGGAGTATACCATGGAGCAATTTGGACGTAATATGGAGCAATCATAGATATTTCATGGAGCTTTGATAGATAATAAATAGACGTTAATTGGAAGACATATAGATGTAGATTTTTGATTTTGTTTTGGTTTACTTCGCTGTAAATTAATGTAGACAATTTTTTTATTAACAGAAAATATTTTTATTGATGAAATAAATATGTTTATGAATACAAGTAAAACTAATATACAATATATTAATATAAAATTAATATAAGTATTTTTTATGGAATAAAATTAATATAAGTATTTATAATGTACATATAAATTTTTCTGCGACTTATCTAACTCCAAGAACGACAAAAAGAAAGATAAACGCATTTACAAATTTATGAAGACTTTTCTCGCTCCATTTTCGTTCTCAATACAAAAACTTCTCAAATTATACATATATATATATTTTTTTTTTCCGAGTAACGCGAGGACATATATCTTATAATTAGACAAATTAGGTCGATAAAATAATATATAGATACAAATATTTGTATAGTAATGCTAATTAAACATGAACGCTTATTCTCTTATGAAAAATTTTCGTATGCGAAGATGACGCTGAACGAAAATTGTGTGTGTGTGTTGTGTGTGTGTGTGTGTTGCGTGTGTGTGTGTGTGTGTGTGTGTGTGTGTGTGTGTGTGTGTGCTGTGTGTGTCTGTGTGTGTGTCTGTGTGTGTGTGTGTGTGTGTGTGTGTGTGTGTGTGTGTGTGTGTGTGTGTGATTGGTATATACTTTTAAATTTAAAAATATATACCAATCTGAAGAATCGCGTAGCGTCTTTCGCATAGGAAAATTTTCGATTTTAACAATTGAGGTCCTGGAACAATTCTAACAGGGAGAGGCTTCGTCCGCGCATATCACTGGCTTCATCGGTCTTCATCGGTCCAGTCTCTGCGATCTCGCTACATTGCTGAAATATAAAAGTATGTGTGATATACACGTATAATATAAAACATCAGATGGGTGATAAAAAAAAGTGCAAACGCAATATTAAAAGTAGATAAAAATTATTGCAGGAAAGGGGCACTGGAATTATATTTTTTTTTCGTCACACAATTTCCAATATAGACGAAGAGAGAATATAATTACATTGCCCCTCTTCTTGCTAATGTTGACGCGTTGACTTGTATGAAAGCGCGCAATTTATGACTACGTTTATACGATCCGATTTACGCCGCAATTATAACATCGATATTATTATTAATACAAACGTTTAAGGGTGACGTGTAAACGTAGGGTGCTTTCCATTTAGTGACACAAGTCGACACAAGTATCATTCTATCTTTGTTGTTCACTGTTGTTGAAAAAAGACAGAATGATGCTTGTGTCGACTTGTGTTGCTAAATAGAAAGCACTCGTAGTCATCTCGCTCGTAAAAGCGAAGCGTTCGCGCCAGTGATGTCAGAAAGAATTAAGCTTCGAGCAACACGCATCTCCCCCCCCCCCCGCCCTTATGGTTGCGTGTTGCTCAAAGCTCGCTTTTAAAGGCTTTGTTTACACCGAGCACTTAATACGCGTACCAAATCCTATACGTTCTATAGGTCAGATAAGTCCTATAAGTCAGATAAGAGTCGGTAGTCGCGATCGACAGTTGAGTCGGTCTTTGTAGTCTTGCGACAGGAGCTTAACAGTGGTATGTGACGTATGTACAATATGTGACGTAATTTACGGTCTTGTGGAAGGATCAAATGTAGTGTTAATATACAGTGAGCGTCAAAGATGAGTATACATCTAAAATACATATAAACATTAAGTAACAGTATAATGTGTAACATTAATATTATAATTTTTCATATATAAGGCATGCTACATTGCAATTACGTTGCAGTTATCTTGTTAAGTGAGAAATTATAATATTAATAGGAGCTTTCCGGCAAGACACAGTGTAACACAATGTTCACTAGTATAAGTGAGACACACTGATACGTTCTCTCTCACACTAATGGACACTGGTGTCGCCTGTGTTACCTGCTGGAAAGTTCCCAAAAATGTTACGTTACCGTTAAGCCTGAGACACAATGCGAGGCAATAGCGATAGGAATAACATAGCACAAATTTCAATCTATAAGAAACCACATTCCATTGGTACGTGGTTTCTTATAGGTTGAAATTTGTGCTGTGCTATTTCTATCGCTATTGCCTCGCATTGTGTCTCAGGCTTTACTTTATCTTTACTGGAATTCTAAAGTACAATATTAGAGAACTGTGTTTTCATTGACATTATTAATAACTTTTCATTTCTCTATTCACTGCAGTCCTCCAAGAAATTAGACAAAGCATTACCTTCGCGTCTATTCATCCGCTTCTCCTCATTTTCATGCCTCGCCTTGGAATGTCGGAACCACTCCATAACTCGTCGTTGTATTTTTCTCTGGTCGGAATCCGGGATATTGTGAAGTATGGATCCTGTAAACATTTTCTTTGTTTTAACTTTCTTATTTTATATTCATTGAGATAGAGAGTGCATAAATTATATTTGAATAATTTTGCTTTTTTAGTTTTATAATGCAAAAAGATTAAAAGTACACAAAATTTTATTCACATAAATTGATTCATCGAAAACTTTTTAAATTTGATTAAAATAATAAACAATTACGAATATCTACGTGGTGTCGAATGGAAAATTGCTGAAAATAAACAGCTGTCATTTTCAAATGCACATAGAGAGGAAGCAGTAAAAGTAAAATATTTTCTAAGAGAGGCATTTTTATTTATACATAGAGTAAAGACAAATATCGGAAATATACTTATTATTTAATAAACGATTTATAAAAGATGGTTCAAGATAATAAAGGAAATTGATCAGAGCTGTGAGAATTAAAAGCAATGAATGGCATCTCAAAAGAGACGTAAAGTTACGTAAAATTATTTATAGTTTCCGCAAGAGATATGATTTTGTTTCAATGATGTTTTAATGATGCACTTTAAATATGTCATTAAAAAAAAACTTTATTATAAATGATAAGAATGTCTTTACTCTATGTGAAAATAAAACTGCTGAATGTCCTCTATTTAAAGATATTTTAATTTTTTCTGCTCCCTACGTGTATTTAAAAATAACAGCTATATATATAGGTATACATATAGGCCCGTATTCAGAACTGCACGTTTCAGAACGGTCAATTTTTAACGCACATAAGAAACAAAAAAATTAAAAAATTTTTTTACAGAGGACATTTTGCATTTATTTACATTTAAACAAAGATAATTGTGGAAATAATTTTATTACTACGAACAAACGTTTATTTCAAAATGCTAATTAAATATATATATATAACAGTTAATTTCAGTAATTTATCAAGGGCGCATTGTACTATATTGTCCGTATTCGGAATGCGCTTTTAAAAATGTTAGCGCGCTTTTTTGTCATTCTATCCTTATTTCACGTTTAATGAACAATAAAGATAGAATGACAAAAAAGCACGCTAACATCTTTAAAAGCGTTCTGAATACGGACCATGCATATAGTACAATGCGTCATGATAAATTACTGAAACTGTTATAATTAAATTAGTATTTTAAAATAAACGTTTGTTTGTAGTGATAAAATTATTTCCAATCTTTATTTAAATGTAAATATAAATGCAAAATGTCATCTGTTAAAAGATTTTTTTATTTTTTTGTTCCTTATGTGCGTTAAAAACTGACCGTTAATTATAGTCAACAAATTTCCGTGACACCCTGTAAAATAACAGAGAGAAAGAGCGAGAGAGAGAGAGAGAGAGAGAGAGAGTTTGCATTCGCGCGCGCGCGCGCGCGTGTGTGTGTGTGTGTGTGTGTGCAGTTTTTTTATCTGTCATTATGTGTATATATATGAAAGCATTACTTAATCACATATTTTTACGTTTAATTAATATTTAAACTTACTGAAAATAACTTTCATCACTTCCAGTTTCTGCAGTGGTTCCTTTCCGCGTCGGCCTTCCCAGTTATATCTCTCCGCCAATTTATTGGAGAATACTTTATACAATGTTCTCTTTACGGCATCATCGACACTTGTCCCTCCGATGGATTTGATATATCCGCGCTATAAAATAAAAAGGTAAAATAATATATTATTATCAGATTAAATAATTCCTTAAAATTCTTTTAAATTCTCAATCTTTCCAATCATTTTTATAACAATTTTAAATTATTAATAATCTGAACGATAAAATGTATGCAATAAAAGCTTGTAAAACTTCATGGTAATTGTGAGTTACAGTATTTGTTCAATTATCAAAATATAATTTCGCGTCTGATTATTTTATTGGTAAAATATTTATATCTTATATATATAAATTTATATGCGTTTACTTACTATTTCAGTGTTATGTTGGGAATTTGACGCTTTCAAGATCTCCTCAACTTCCGCTAACTGAACTACGGTTTGCAAGGGAAACCGGTTTTCAGCGCCCTCAAAGGAAATTTGTGTTCTCTCACATTCTGTGTCTTTATTAATTTTGTCCACTATGTCTACTAAGGTCAGTATTTGCCTCACATCATATTTTACTGATGCTACTTCCCTCGTTAATTTTTTTAAATGATCAACTACAAATATTATTAGTATTTATTTTCTTGAAGGCAACGTGTAATACGACTGATTTATAAAATCAACATGATATGTAATTGTAATGTATCAATAGCATATAAATTTATATAATAAATGTGTTAACGTTTATAATAATAATATAAAAAAAATACAAAAACATATAATAAAAAAACGTTATAAAATGTGCATAGTATATAAAATATACGAATAGCTTATAAAACATAAATTAGTCGCATTACACGCTGCTTTCAAACGATAAACCAGAAATATACAAGAATAAATGTAAACTGTTGAAAATATTTAAATTACACGCGCGCGCGCGCGCGTGTGTGTGTGTGTGTGTGTGCGCGCGCGCGCGCGGGTGTGTGAACGTGTGCGTGAGCGTGTGCGGGCGTGCGTGCGTGCGTGCGTACGTGTGTGTGGGTGTGTGTGAGAGAGAAAACGATTAAAATACACAATACTGCGGACATTGATATGTATAAAATCATATAAAAGAATGATTATTAAAAACATAAAAAGGACCAGTAAAGAGATTATTAAAAAATATTATTAAATTATGCGCATTTTATATATTATATATATATATATATATATAAAATGCGCATAATTTAACGATAATATTTTTTAATAATCACTTTAATAATACTTTAAGTACTTTGTTTAATATAACCTTTTCAATAATCCTTTTTTATAATAATTGAGTGCATAATTGTGTATTTTAACCGTATTTACACACACACACACACACACACACACACACACACACATGCATTACATTTAAGCTGCGTTCGGAAACATCACACGAGTGCACACCGGCCGCCAAAACTCTATTCTATGCGTTAGACCTGTTCTACAATAGAGTCGTAAGCTGTAAGACGTAAGAAATTGACCAATCACAGTCGATTTTTCTTCTATTTTAATTCGTCTGTGATTGGTCAATTTTTTATGTCTTACAGCTTACGACTCTATTGTAGAACAGGCCTAACGCATAGTATAAATTTTCAGCGGCCGGTGTGCATCCGCGTGATGTTCCCGAACGCAGCTTTACTTACCAATTGGACCTTCTGCGTGTGAAAATTGATTATTAAAATTTTCCTTTTCCTTTTCAATTTCTCTGTACGTATACTTATAACTGTACGTATTCTTAGCTCGGCCAATTTTTCCCGCATCATTGTCATTATGTCTCGAGCCGATCGATGGCGTCAATGGTGGATCGATGGTGTCATACCAATTATGTGTCGAATTAATTCGATTTTTCCCTTTTATTATAGGGCTGTTATGCGAATATTCATTGTCTGACCGACCATGGGCATGTATCAAGCCATCTCGAGTTTTCTCTCTTGGAGCAATAATAGTACGCGGCATATGTTCCTCAGCATCTGTTTCACATGAAGCACCGAAATCATCTCCATTCCTATCTTCATTAATAGGCGAAGCTGTAGAGAACAAAATTGTATGTATTATTTTAAATATTGTATATGAAAGTTAAATATATATATACATATATATATATGTCAAAGGGTTTATTCTGGGACACTTCCCGACATTTATTGACATATTCCGAGACATTTGCAGGGTTCCAGGCCTGACCTGGAAGAATTATATGTCAAATGGCAGTTTCCAAGACAGTCCTGGAAAACTTATGTATATACATATAGGAATTGCATATTTAAACGTATATACAAAAGAAACAGATGTATACAAATGTTAAACACCTATATACAATTGAAGGATAAAAAATATATTATTTAATTTTGATAAGAACAATAATCAATATATACGTATATAATCGGTAATATTACAATATTTTGGATAAGGATTCCTTTGTGTCCTGGAAACAAACATTAGGCCACAAAATAATTTATTTTCATTTTTTCTATTATTTAATGCATTTAACGTAGATATATACAATCAAAGAAATGCAGTCAGACAATGTTAGTGTACATTATTGTGCATATATGTAGTTCGTAACACTGTTGACATGCAAATTCTTTACTAAAGTTTAATTGTATTCTGTAAAATTAGATGAAACATTTAAATAGAAAGGAGCACGCACAAATCATAGGGAAAAATGGATATTAGTCGATTTGGTTAAAAATTTAGTATGATGTAGTTTATGTCGTCCTGATCAAAAGTTCCAATGGGCACAAGGTTCGTGTAGCCAGTTTTCGAGATATTGGGGGTCAAATGTTGGAAATATAGCCATTTTTTATCGAGTTAGACGCAATCGTTACGGATAGAATTTATGGATTAGAATGAAAATTAATCAAAGAGTGCTTTGGGACAGTACCCGATGAAAAAGATAAATAAATATGTGTATATACAGGGTGTCTCCGAAATCTGACCGCCCCTAGATTTCAGAAACAACTGTAAATATGAAAAAACGTTTCAGACGAAAGTTGTAGGGTTCGAAGCGAGATATAAGAAGATACTATTGATCTTAGGCTGCGTTGTTAAGGTCACATAAAGGTCATAGTCATTCTTTCAAATGGAATTACAATTGTTTTAGGTAAATAGATTTCTTGTAACATTCTGCATAAAAAGTTAGTAAGGATAATATGGCCAAAAAGTGTATCGCTTACGTGATATTTAATATGTAAATCTGACATTTTAACATAAGATACCTCGTAAAATATTTGTTTCGATGTTCTTACCCCAATACTTTTATGCACAGAATAATGAGACGAATCAATTGGTGTAAAGAAAACGCATGGTTGTTTATAACAAAAAGTACATTGCAAATTACACATTTTTTGTTATAAACAATCATGCATTTTTTTGCACCAATTGATTCGTTTCATTATTCTATACATAAAAGTATCAAAGTAAGATTATAGAAAAATAAATATTTCATGAGGTATCTTATATTTTGTCAAAATATGTCAGATTTACATATTAAATATCTCGTAAACGATGCAATTATTGACCATGTTATCCTTATAACTTTTTATGCAGAATGTTACAAGGAATTTACGTACATAAAACAATTATTGTAATTCCATTTAAAAAAATGGCGATGACCTTTATGTGACCTTAACAACGCAGCCTAAAAACCAATAGTATCTTCTTATGTCTCGCTTCGAACCCTACAACTTTCGTCTAAAACGTTTTTTCATATTTACAGTCGTTTCTAAAATCCAGGGGCGGGGACAGATTTTAGAGACACCCTGTATATACACATATTTATTAATTTCTTTTATCGGGTACTGTCCCAAGGGACTCTTTGACTAATTTTCATCTTGATCCGTGAATTCTAACCGTAGCGATTGCGTCTAATTCAATAAATAAATGACTATATTTCCAACATTTGACCCCCATATCTCGAAAACTGGTCACACAAACCTTGTGCCCATTGGAACTTTGAATCAGGACGTCATACACATCATACTAAATTTTCAACCAAATCGACTGATATCCATTTTTCCCTACGATTTGTGCGTGGTCCTTTAGATGCTATAATTATTCCCGGTTGCACCAACGTTATTTTGGTTTTAAGCGAGACTTTTTCATACCAATATTGAAAACAAATGACATAAAAACATATTTATTTATAAAAAATGTAACTTACTCATAACAAAACTGCAAAAAGTAAGATATGCTTCAATTTGTTTTTTGACTTGCACACCCGTTATACAGAGTATCCGATAATAAATAAGTTTATCTTACTGTGACGCAATCTCATAAAATATGCATTAGGAAGCGAATTTTTTATTTAAGTATTTAATATCATTATTTAATGTCACATTATTTGTAAGAATTTGGTTGTGCCCTGAAAACGAACACAGACCAAATAAAATGATATTTACCTTTTTTTAAGATTTAACTCGTACATATTAACATTTGAAAACGCGATCTGGCTATGTTAGTTAACTCTCTTCTGTGAAGCTGTGTAATTCTTAACAATATGAGTATATCAGCACACAGCGGGAAAATCTGCGCACTATGACGCAATACATATCACGCACATCAGGTAACGAAGAATTGGAGGAATGACTATAAGTAATATGTGTATATGTGTAATATTATTCCCGCTTCGTTGTATGCCTGGTATAATTGATAAAAATATATCAAAGTTTGTTTCCAGGACATTGAGGGAAAATTAGTTCACTATGACGCGATAAATATCACGTATATCAGGCAAAGAAGCATTGGAGGAATGGCTATAAATAATATGTGTATATGTATAAAATTATTTCTGCTTTATTGTATGCCTGGTAATTGATAAAAATATATCAGAGTTCGTTTCCAGGACATGGCGGGAAAATTACTTCACTATGACGCGATAAATATCACGTATACCTGGCAACAAAGCATTGGAAGAATGGCTGTAAGTAATATGTGTATATGTATAATATTATATCTGCTTTGTTGTATGCTTGGTAATTGAAAAAAATACAATCATTTTGTGACCTAGCGTTCGTTTCCAGGACACAATAAAATTTTTATAAATAATACAATATTAAATAGTTGAATGGAGCACTCTCAGCTCGGACATTTATTCTAGTGCGATGAGATCAGTCTATTGTAACATGATATGCATGACGCATATCGCGTCACAATAGACTGTCATCGCTCACTTATCTTCCCATCTAACGCTAATATTCGTGCAGCGAGATTTTATCGTTTTTATATATTATCGAACATCTGTATAATAGGAATGCAAGTCACTTTCAAATTAAATGGATGAATAATCTACATAAAAAATGAAATTCATTTGAGAGAGATTTAGAATAAATGTCCAAGCCGAGTGCTTCATTTATATATTTAATATTGTATTATTGATAAAAATTTTGTTGTGTCCTGGAAACGAACGCTAGGCCACAAAATAATTGTATTTTTTTCAATTACCAGACATATAACAAAATGGAAATAATATTATACATATACACTAATTACACATAGCCATTGCTCCAATGCTTCGTTGTCTGATATGCGTGATACTTATAGCGTCATAATGAACTAATTTTCCCGCTATGTCCTGGAAACAAACGCTAGGCCACAAATGGTTGTATATTTTTTTCAATTACCAGATATACAACGAAGCGAAAATAATGTTATACATATACACATATTACTTATATAACCATTCCTCCAATATGTCGTTGCCTGATATGCGTGACACGTGTATTGCGTAATAGTGGGGCTGATTTTCTCGCCGCGTGCTGATATACTCATATTGTTAAGAATGATTTGTATTGTTAAGAATTACACATATTCGCAGAAGGAAATTAATTAATTATCAGATCTGTTATTATCAGATCGTGTTTTTAAATGTTAATATGTACGTCCAATGAGTTAAATCTAAAAAAAGTGTACATATTTTCTGGGGGTAAATAACCTAACGTTCGTTTACAGGACACAACCAAATTCTCACAAATAATGTAATATTATATAATTACTTGAATAAATAATTTGCTTTGGAATACATTTATCCTGTAATATATAAGTATATTAATGGGTTTTTACATAATATGATTTTTTTATTTAAATTTTCCAGAAAACAATAAATATCTTTTGACTTGCAACCCGTTATACAGAATAATAAGCAAGATCATCTCATTGTGAGGCAATACTTACAGGATAATTTATATTTCGAGGCAAATTATTTAATATCATTATTTAATATCACATTATTTGTTATACTATATATTATATATTATATATATTATACTATATATATTTAATATCACATTATTTGTTATAATAGATAATAATCTATTATGCTCTTGAAACGAACATTAGGCCAGAAAATAATATTTACTTTTTTAGATTTAATTCATTGGACGTATAACTTTTGAAAACGTGATCTGACAACAACAGTTAACTTTCTTCAATAAACCTGAATAATTCTTAATAACAATATTTGTAATTCTTATCAATATGAATATCGGCACACGACGTGAAAATTAGCCCACTATAACACGATACACGCATCTCAGGCAACGAAGCATGGAAAGAATAGCTATAAGTAATATTTGTATATGTATAATATTATTTTCGCTTCGTTGTATGCCTATTAATTGAAAAAATATCCCATTTTGTGGCCTAGCGATCATTTCCAGGACAAAAATAAATTGTAAATAATATGACATTAAACATCCGAGAAACAACGTACCTTCGAGTACATTTATTCTAAGTTTTTTGTTAATGATTTAAAAAAAATTTTTTTTATTAATAATTATAAGAGAATAAAATTATTTATATTTGCGCTTACGACTAATGATTGTTTAAAGTCAATAGACAATAATCAATACAAAGGAGAACATTGTATATTAGCAGAAACTTAATTTTCGTCTAACAAGGGACATGTCACAACTGTCCGGAACCGATTTGATTCTCCTTGAAATATGTTGTTAAATACACAAATCTAAAAGACACGTATTTTTTTATACGTGCGCAATTTGAGTTTTAAGGGGTGAAACACCCCTTTAAAGAATAACGGTATTTTTCTTTAGGATCAAATATCTGCTAAACTATAAGAGATATAAAGAAAAAACGTACAACAAATTTTAATGGCTTGAAGAGTACTTTAAAGTTATATGAACAAAAATTTTTTTTTTTTTTTTTTTTTAAAAAACCCTCACCACCTAATTTTTTTTTTCAAAATTAAAAATTTTGTTTTACCTAATTTAAAGCTTATTTTTTTCCAAATTCAACCATGTGTAATAAAGTTATGTTACGAAATATCATTTTCGAAAATTAATTATAAACGCTCCCGTATATACGCTCATCCGTGCTATGTGCGTAAGTAATTACCGTCGAACAATAAAATATATAAAAAATGTTTTTGTATAATTCTTATTTATGTTTTCTATGTATTTATAACTGCGTATTGTGTATATTTAGATTTAAAAAAAAATTTTTAAATATAATTAATAAGAATTTTTTAAATATACCCCCTGCTTTCTTATTATTTCTTTAATATTTAATTTCTTCTATAAAAATTAAAAACAATTATATTTTATAATAAAATTATTTTTTAATTGAATCTTGCGAATACCAATGTCGCAATATTTGGCATAAACAAATTTTATATCTTACGTTAAATGAATCATAAGATAAGATTATGTGTACGTGTTCCAGATAAGTTATAATTTTTACAATAAAATCTTTAATACGTTAAAATAAATAATAAAATAAGATTATGTGATGACGTATTTCTGATAAGTTAATATAAATTGTTCATGTAGCAGCATAATTCTCACAGTCGGTGTAGTCTTTTCGTTGTAATAATATCTGTGTAAACTGTTCTTTTATTGCAATAGAAAGCAAAATATAACATCTTTGAATATGATTATCAATCCGCTTAACGTTGTTAGACTTTTATTGGTGTCAATAAATTCAATATATTTAACAGAAACGCCAGTAACTGAAGCAGAAGTGGAATTAAAGGAAAACATTAAAAAAATATTACTGGATAGCGTTTTTCATTATAATGGGGTGGAAGTAACGGAAGAAATATATCTCGATTATGAAGAACCTTATAAATTACATAGTTTTGAAATAATTGAAGATGACGAAGAAGCATGGCATGAAGATAGTTTAAATTCTCATCCTCATTGTTCAAATGATGATACAAATTTTGATAGTTCTTATAAAAGACGAGCTGTTGAGTATTGGCGATTTCGGGACACTGATGAAAACAGTAATGACAGAAAAAGGAATCGTCCTCTAAGAGTAGTACAAAATAAATTTAGAAGAGTTTCATCTGAACGTCAGTTAAGGCGATGGGAAGAACAAATACAATCAGGTGGAAGTCGTACAGAAAAATTATCTTACATCTCCAAATTTACACATGATAAATTTACTGCAGCTGTCGAATCAGGATTCATGGTTCATGATATTGATTTAAAAAGATGGGCTTTACAAGCTCAAGAAGAAATAGGAAATTTAAATCCTATATTTAAAGCATCTCACAGTTGGATAGCAAGATTTAAGAAGTCTCACCGAATTGTTTCAAGAAAAGTTACGAAGTTTGTCACTAGAAGAACATTAGAAGATTCTGCTGATTTGCAAAAATCAGCTGATGATTTTCTGGAAACAGTAAAACCTCTTATTGAACAGTTTGGATCTGAAAATATTTACAATTCAGATCAAAGTGGTTTCCAATTGGAACTTCACTCTGGAAGATCATTGTCTAACCAGGGAGAAAAGAAAGTAGAACGTGTCGTGCAATCCATATCATCAACAACCCATTCATATACGATACAACCAATAATATCCTGTAATGGCAATTTGTTGTCCCCTTTATTTATTGTATTAAAAGAAGCTAATGGTAAATTTGGACCAAGAGTACAAGAAAATTTATTTAAAGCAGAAAATGTTATTGTAAAAGCATCGAAATCTGGTAAAATGACATCAGGTATTTTCCTTTTATAATTACTTTTTTTAACAACCTTATTTTATTTAACAATTTAATAAGAGTCATAAAAAAACTATTAAATTAACATTTATATTTTGTACAGATCATTTTAAAATGTGGTTAGAAGAAGCTTATTTCGCAAACATTGGTCCTAATAGCGTTCTTCTTATCGATTCATGGACTGGACATTGCCCCAATATGATTTCGGATTTAACACCTCCTGGAACACATATTACTACTATGATAATACCGAAAGGAACTACAGGGAAAATACAACCATTAGATGTTTATGGATTCAGAATTTGGAAAAATTTTGCTAAAAGATTTTCAGATGCGGTTTTACTGTTGGAAAGTAATATAAACTTACATGAACGAAATAATATAATAAAATTGCAATCTTTGATACATAATCAATTGTCATCCCCACGATATCAAAACTTATTTAAATATTCGTGGTTTAAAAGTGGTTATACGAATGAAAGACCAGACGAATTCGAAAATCCAGTACACTTTAGTTTAGACGAAACTTTAACAAAATGTGATATCGAAGGTTGCAATAATATAGCTGTAGTAAGATGTTCTTGGTGCAAGAAGTCATTATGTTTGAAACATTTTTTTGTCGAATATCATTATTGTAATGTGTATAATGAGTGAATAATATAAAATGCAAATACATTTTTAAAAAAATCTAAATATACACAATACACAGTTATAAATACATAGAAAACATAAATAAGAATTATACAAAAACATTTTTTATATATTTTATTGTTCGACGGTAATTACTTACGCACATAGCACGGATGAGCGTATATACGGGAGCGTTTATAATTAATTTTCGAAAATGATATTTCGTAACATAACTTTATTACACATGGTTGAATTTGGAAAAAAATAAGCTTTAAATTAGGTAAAACAAAATTTTTAATTTTGAAAAAAAAAATTAGGTGGTGAGGGTTTTTTAAAAAAAAAAAAAAAAAAAAAAATTTTTGTTCATATAACTTTAAAGTACTCTTCAAGCCATTAAAATTTGTTGTACGTTTTTTCTTTATATCTCTTATAGTTTAGCAGATATTTGATCCTAAAGAAAAATACCGTTATTCTTTAAAGGGGTGTTTCACCCCTTAAAACTCAAATTGCGCACGTATAAAAAAATACGTGTCTTTTAGATTTGTGTATTTAACAACATATTTCAAGGAGAATCAAATCGGTTCCGGACAGTTGTGACATGTCCCTTGTAAGTATATTTAAGACAAATTTTTAATGAATACACTTTAATTTATAAGTAAAAAAATTTGTTTTTAAGAAAATGTATTTTTTTTAATCTCAAGGAAATTAATGAAACACATGATTAAACGTGCATCATAAAATTTATTCTTTATTAATTATTATATTATACTATTTATATAATTATCCTGTTTTAATTCAGAAACAAATATTCGCAGAACCTACAAATTAAAAAAATCACAGAACTTACAAATTAAAAAAATATAAATCGAATTAAAAAGATATTCGATATCGCGGTCTGCGGGCGAAAAAGTATATATCTTTATATGAATTACAAATATTACATAAAAAATTAAAGCTACATATAAATATATAATGTTTTGCAGTACATTGTCTTAGTATAAAAGAAAATTATTTTAAAAATATAGTTACTTATACGGAAAGAATAGTTACTTTAACATTTACCTCATTTCAAAATATTTAATGTAATTACAAATGTATGTAATTAAGCTGTGCGCTAAGATATAAAAGAGTTCCTAAAAAGTAACATTATAAAATATAAATATAATTACGTAAATGAAGATTA